TCTGACCTCAGCATATTTCCCCACATGGAGTGTGCAATCACTGGAGGAGGTGGCTGGATTGGGAGTGAGGGCAGGTCAGTAGGAAAAGGGCAGTGGGACGTTATCTGTTTATTGATAAAGGTAATTCTCAAACATTGGAGGGCTTAAGGTTTCCCCCGGGTACTTATTTCAAAATCAGTTCCAGGGCACCTTTCAAAGAGTGATTCAGACAATGCAGAGTATTAACAAGCTTCCTGGAGGTTCTGATGGTGGTACAGGATGTGGGAAAGCTTGGGCAGGAATAACCTCAGCTCTCTTAACCAGACTTCTCTTCCATCCAGGCATTCTTTCCACTTCTTATGGTAGTCAGCTGACCTTTCAGGATCGTGAGCTGCCTAAGTTTCGATTTCTCCGGAAAACAGTGTCATTTGAGGTGCAAGTAGGAGGTGAGAAATAGGGGAAGGAGAGCGGGGTCAGAGAGGGAAGACCCAGAGGGGAAGAAGTGAAAGAGGAAGGTGTGGGGTGGGGTCAGACCAACTCTTGGTGAGTAAACATTTTTCTTTCTTTGCCCAGAGGAATTGAGGATCTAAGCTTGGGAGGTGAGTGGGTGGTCATAGCATGGGAGAAAGTGGAATCTGGCCCTTCCTCAGTCCACTCTGCAAAACCAGAACTCCAATTGCCTCTGTTACCATCACTCAGGCCTTGGGATTTGGCGTCCTGGGCAAAGAAAGTAGAGGGGCTCAGGGGAAGGAGAGGCAGAAGGCTGGAGAAACTCAGTTTTGGGGACTAACTCTTTGTTGAAGAATTTAATTTCTCCTAGAAATCTGTAGTAGCCCCAAATTTTCAATGAAAGAGGCTGAGCATGACATACATGTGGGTGTGTGCCCCTTCCTGCAAGCGTTGAGTACATAGCCCTAGGGGCTGGCCCTCACTGCTGTGCAATGGGAAGGGCATGCTTTTACACTTTATTCAAAAGGTGAACAAAATATTTTGCTAGTTCTATTAATATCTACAGTCAACAGGTCAAAGCACCATGGGTTGACAAATGTCCCACCAGTAAGGACAGCATAAGAGATGGCCCAAAGTCCAAGAGAAATAAGTGGCCACTAGAGCAAGACCCCAGGATGGCTTAGGCCAATGAGGGCAATCCTGGATGAGCCCTGAATTGTTGCTGTCCAGCCAGGTTCATTGCCCACTGCCTCAGAAGAAGCCAATACCCAGAGACAGCAGGTGTCACAGCAGAGAAGGGTTCAATTCCTCAGAGCACCAAGTGGGAAGATGGGAGGGATTTCTCTCAACTCTGCCTCCCTGAAAATTTTGGAGATGGTTTTTAAGGATAGCGTGGGAGGCCAAGGATGAGGCAACTGGGTGGGCTTACTGGATAGGTTTGGGGCAAAATTATAAGGTATAGAAATCATGCTTCAGTTTCTGAGGTCACAATTTCAGTTGAGTCAGTCTCCTGGTATGGGCTGCTGGTCTGGGTGGGTCCTCTGGACACAGGACCTGGCAGATATCTCTGAATCCATCTACCTTCAGGT